ACAAAATAAGACAAAATAAGGCTAGCAACCCTAAGGGTGAAATTAAAACTGTAAACTCCCATTTTATAAGAAAGTTTTCTTCTTTCTTCTACCTTGTCCACAGCTTAATCCACAAAATAATTAAGTCAGTGGAGAAATGACTACAATGAAAGTTGGAGAGAGAACCACAATTTGCAGGGGTCAAGTATGCAAGGGCAAGGGCGTGGGGAATTAAAGCCGTGTTGCAGGGCAGGTACCCAACCTTCCAAGAGTGTGGAGTGAAAGGCTACTATAGATAAAATATATTTTGGAATAAAAAGAAAACTGGGGGGCCTCCCCAGTAGCACAGCGGTTGAGCACTGGGTTGCAAAGCTGCCCGCATCCTCTGCAGTGCCGGTTCGATCCCCGGCTGCTCCCCGGCCACCAGAGAAGGGTCCCACATGGCGCGCAGACCTCTCCTGCCGCCCGCTGCTCCCCTCAGCAGTGTACTTCCTCACTCTGCCTGCTCTGCTCCCAGCTCTGGTTCTGGTGAATTCTCTCGCCCTCCCACGCTTCTGACTGTACCCATTGCTTATATGAATAAATAAATAAATCTTTAAAAAAAAAAAAAAAGAAAACTGGGGCCTCCCCGGTGGCGCAGCAGTTGAACGCTGGGTTGTGAAGCTGCCCGCAGCCTCTGCAGCGCCGGTTTGATCCCCAGCTGCTCCCCGGCCACTGGAGGAGGGTCCCACATGGCGCGCAGACCTCTCCTGCTGCCCGCAGCTCCCCTCAGCAGTGTACTTTGGTCCTTCTGCCTGCTCTGCTCCCCGCTCTGGCTCTGGTGAATTCTCTCACCCTCCCGCGCTTCTGACTGTACCCAGTGCTTGCATAAATAAATAAATAAATAAATAAATAAATAAATAAATAAATAAATAAATCTTAAAAAAAAAAAAAAAAGCAATGTTAAAAAAAAAGAAAACTGGAAAACAGAAGAGGAGCTTAACAAGCTATGTATAGATTAATGAACTTTCTTTTCCACTGCTTTTTAAAAGTACAGTTGCTTTTGAAACTGAAATCTAGATCCCGTTGGCTGAATTTTAAGTTTCCCAGAGCTTTTATCTTTGCTGTCTGGAAGAGCAGGAAGGGATATTAAAAAAAAAAAAAGATGCTATCATACAGGAAGCCAAAATGAATCAATTTTGTGATGGCATCTGCTACTTTCCTTTTAATGTCATGAGAATAACAGTAACTTCATACTGGATGTATAACTTCATACTGATGACAAGCATCTTTACAAAATTAACCATATTACACACAATAATTAGCTCTCCTGCAAGGTTAAATAATATAAAATTAAAAATTACTGGGTGATTAAGTTACAATTATACCAATTTTGAGCTTTCTGAAGGAACAAACTGCATGTATTTTTGGCAAAGGCTAACAGGATGCGAATAGAAACAATACATCAAATGAACTACCCAAATCAATTCTGCATGGGGAAGGGAAATAAGGGGAGTACTAATACACTAAATTTACTACAAATCTGGTTACCAGTATAAATCTGAACGTTCAACTGGGAATTGCTGTTAAACTACAAATATGGATACTCATTGTACAGAGCATGCCCTGGGGCAGTTAACTGCAGGAAATTTCACATGGAATTCTCTGCTTCTTACCATATTATACAGCTGAGAGGCTGAAACAAATTTTAGTGGTCAGGCTAATAAGCCTTTTGCTTTTCAGTTATTATTTGTTTTAATAAGCCAACTTTCTCCTACTTGTTCCATATTATAGTAGATATTTTTGTCCTTTGAATGAAGATTCTCTTAAAAATCACTATAGGAAATTGAGTGATTCAGAATTCACCAATTATCAACCTTCAATGCCAAGGGCTTGAGCAGTTTGTAATAAAAATTCAGTTCATCTCTGCAGATCAGATAAGACAAAAAGAAACTTCTAAGATATTTGAACCAACCATTTCTATCAGTAGTTTTATATAAATTGTATTTACTTGCTCCTAAAACTCTCCATGAAAGAAATGTTGAATTTTCTTGAGAAATAGTCGGGGTTTGAACAAAATGTCAAAATAATTCTCCTCTGCAGGCTTTATTTTTTATTATACTTAACAATATTATTTCTGCACTTACCTGTAATGTTAGTGTGCCCATGTTCTTATATGATGGAATACTTCATTATACTCATACACATGTGATACAGAAGTAAGAGTTCACTTTGACCAATGTGGTTTAACTCTTGTTACTCACTAAATGCTTTGGAAGGTAATATAAGAACATACTGTAACATTTTATAGATGGGATGAAACCTTAGTCATGTTGGCCTTCTGCTCTGAAGTCTGTTCTGAAACTTATATTCCTGTTGTAAAATGGTACAACTACTTTGGAAAACAGTTCCACAAATGTTTAAACAAAGAGTTACCTTATAACCCAGCAATTCCATCCCCAGGTCTGTACCCAGAGAAATGAAAATCTATGCCCACATGAAAATGTGTGCATGGATACTTACAGAGGTATTATTCATGATAGCCAAAAGGTGGAAACAACCAAATGTCTATCAACTGGCAAATGGGTGTTATCTAATCCATACAATGGAATATTACTTGGCCATAAAAGGAACAAATCACTGATACATGTTTCCACATGCATTTTGAAAACATGAAGTAAAAAAAGTCAGTCACCAAAAAATTCCATTTATGCAAAATGTCTGGAATAGGCAAATCTATAGAGATAAAAAGTAATTAGTGGCTGCCTAGGTCTGGGGGAGGGGGAACAGAAGAACAAGAAGGGTGTTGGCTAAAGAATCTTTTTGAGGTAATGAAAATGTTCTAAAACTGTGGTAATGGTTGTATATATCAGAATATATTAAATTAAAAAACTATCAAGTTACATATACACCTTAAATGTGTGATTTTTATGTATGTGAACTGTAATTCTATAGTTATTAAAAATCTGAGAAATGAGGTTCCTGAGACTCAGCAAACCTCTTCCACAAAGCTTTTCTGGTCAACAGTAAAAGTATTAGTTAAACTAAAGTCCAATTTACTTTATTGTAATTGGAACCATCTTGTAGTATTTTGTTATGTACAATTCTAAAATGTGAATGTAGTTTAAGAAAATACATCATTACATCAGATATTCCAGGCAGCCTGCCATGAGACATTTTTACCAAAAAAAAAAAAAAAAAAATCCAAAAGAAATCCATTTAATCAACCTCTTGAGTTTATGTTCTTGTCACTTCATCTCCTGTAAGCTGTCATTTCCCTAAAAAACTCTCCTGTGAAATAGTACTGGGCGTGATTAATCCACTCATTTCAACAAATTATTTGAACCCTTATTATATACCAGGTTACTGTTTTAGGAAGTTGTATATGCTCACACACACATGCAACCAAGTCCCTGCTCTGGTGGAGCTTACAACCTAACAGGATAAGATAAATAATAAACCAATACTGGTTTGAAAATAGGGCACTATGCTATGGAGGAGTGTTATTTAGATGGAGTGGCTAGGAAAGGAGGCGTCACTGAGGAAATGATGCTTAATGGGAGAAAAGAAGGTGCCAGCCAAAGATCAAGGAAGGGAACTCCAGGTAGAGGAAACATTCTTGAATGGCAGAAATCAAAAGTGAGGGGATTACCTGTGTTGTTGGTGACCAACCTTCATGCACTAACTAGTGCAAGAATGCCTGGCAAGTAACTTGCCAATTATGGCTGAAATAAAATGTCTTAAGTACCTAAAACTGCTAAAGGGTCTCACAGCTCTCCAATAAGAGTAGTTTGCCTCAGTCTAAAGGGACCTTCTCTTCTCTTCTTGTACCTCTGAGCAACTCTTCCGTTGTTGTTGTTGTTTTTTTTTTATTTATTTATGCATGCAAGAGCTGGGGTACAGGCCAGAGATACGGGGGGTGAGAGGATTCACCAGAGACAGAGTGGGGAACAGAATAGGCAGACTGACCAAAGTACACTGCTGAGGGGAGCAGCGGGCAAGACAGGAGAGGTCTGCTACGCCATGTGGGTTGCTCTCTGGCTGGCTGGGGATTGAACTCGTGCTGTAGAGGCTGAGGATTGCTTCATAGTGCGGTGCTTAACGCCTTGCGCCACCAGGGAGGCCCCAACTCTTTTGTTTTCTGTACCATTCATTCTTACACTGATGTGAGACACTGTGCTTAGAGTGCTAGGAATTAAAGATGTGTGCCCACATTCTTTCAGGCAGGAAATAGTCTAGCAGCACAAAAATGTAGGCATAAACAACAAATACAAGGTAGGAAGTAAAAGTGGGCCACAAAGGAGAGATTACTTCCAGCTGGAACATCAGAGGAAGCTTCATGGGGTAGAGGCTTGAGAACAGGGAGAGTCTATAAAGGCTGAAGGTTTGGACATGTAGTGGAACAAATAGACTGTTGTCTTCCTCATTAACTTGAAAGATATCTTAAAATACTTTTAGCTCTGCAAATAAGTTACAAGCTCAGGGAAAGACTGCCTGATACTCCATATGTCTCTCTGTGATATTTAGCATAGTATTTTGCAGACTTGGGTATTTCATGAATGGATTCACTGTAAGAGATGTCATTTTCAACACTGAAGGCTAAATTATTCTTTGTTTCAAAATGAGGTTTTGGCCTTTGAAACAGGTGATCCCCTAAACCTCTTAATACATCATCTTAATATTCAGGGGCATCCCTGAGAGTTTTTTCCAAAATGAAAAGGTACTATATAGATAAACACATATACAATGTTCTGAATACAGCATAATATAAAATGTTTGCTTATATATTTGTATGTCTGCATATGTATATCACTATACCTTAATTTCAGAATCTCACAAGATTATTTTAAACTTCTACTGCCAAAACAAAGCTGCTACATGAGAAAAAAAATTTTTTTTCACTTATTCAACTTTCCCATCCAGGCTCTCAAAATCCCATTCCAATCCCAACAAAACATCTTAAATCAGCAAAGAAAGCCAAACAACATTTTTTTTAGGCAGTCTCAACATCTCTAAAAAAAAAATTCCATGGCCAAACTCACCATAGAGAGCTGTCCAAGTTTGATTAATTACATCTAGACACACAGTTCCTGACCTGAAACAGATGGAAAGAATGGCATTTTTTAAAAAATTAGAAAGTTAGTTGCATGTATCTAGCAACTAATTTTATTCATCAAGAAAAATATGTCTAGTATTTGTATAGTATCAATTAGTAAGTTTTACCCTGGATCAAATGGGCTTTTAACAACAATAAGCATAAAGCAAAGATACATGTAAGAAATCCACCTAATCCTATGTTCAATAAAATTAGATTTTTATTCAGTGGAATAACTTAGTTTGTCCAGCAGCATGTCAGAAAAGTCAGGCTCTCAATGGGAATTGTTTATTTTAGAGGGAATTAGCCCTACATCAGAAATAATAGCAAAATGCCTATGATCTCCATTACTACATTATATTGGAGTGAATGGGTTCCTGGATCCAGTCCCAAACTAGGGAGGGAAGTGGTAGGGGTGTCCTTACCCCATTGAAAGAGCAATTCTCAGACACTATGAGAATTCAATTTTGATACTACCTGGAGATAGCATCAAATTGCACAGGTTTAGGGTTCAATTCTGTAAGACTGTAAGATGAGAGCACAATGTGAATATACAACTCTTTCAAGCATGGTCTGTTACAAGCATGGCCTTTTACTTCCTTCAACTGGAAATGGTAGATGAAGGAGGCAACAGTGAGAAACAAGCTAATCAATAAACTGTATTTTAATATAAAAAGAAAAAAGAAAAATACGTTTAGTAGATTAAAAAAAGAATCCCAATTGGGGAAAGTATGATGAAAGCAGAATATATACAAAGTCTTAAGTGTCTCCTTACAAATCCAAAGGGAAAAACAGTGACTATACCGTGGAGAAGCCAGACAATATCTTAAACAGGTCATGAGAGTTAACACTGGCAACCAGGGGCCCCCCCAGTAACCCTGAGGAGGACCAGATCTCACTTTGTGGTTTTCTGGCTTTAAGTTTATACCCTGATTCTAATTATAAGGAAACATAAGACAAGCCCAAATTGAGGTGCAGAGTATAAAATAATTGGTCTATATTCTTTAAAAATGTCAATTTTATAAAAAGCTGAGGACCCATTTCAGATTAAAATAGTTTAAGGAAATATGACAACTAAATGCAATACATGATCCTGGACTGGATCCTTTACCTCAATGGGGAAAAAAAAAAAAAAAAAGCTAAAAAGTACATTCCCAGAATATGGCAGTAAAACAAGAAAGTACTGCATTAATATTAAATTCCTGAATCTGATGACTATTTTGTAGTTACATAAGAGCACATCCTTGTTAGGATGACTGATTAATGGAAGTATTAAAGGACAGCAGAGTGTGATATATATACACAACTTCTTCACACAGAATTCAGCGTATCTCATAGCATGTAATAGCAAAATTTAGTGCGTGACAAGGAAAAACTGTAGAACAAGTAGTGGTTTATATTCAACAGCACTGGCGTTCAGGAGGCACTGCTATCACATTAAAATATCACCAGTAAAACATTAGAATGAAAGAAAGGGATAATTAAGATTCATGAAATGAAAGTACACCCATTCACGTTTGCTTTAATCTCAAGAACTGAGAAATACGTAAAGGGCTGAAAATAGCAAATCTGTATACTGAAAGCAGATCTCCAAACTGTGTCTAAACAAAGAGAAGAGAGATGTGGAATGTCACCAATCCCAGCTGACACCAAGGGAATCGAAGGACCCATTCATGACAATGGAAATAACTAAGCAGTCCAATAGCAGAATTCAAACTAAGTGGTTTAGAATGTCATATCCCTGGGATTCTACAGTTAAAGTGACCATTCATACTATTCTATCTGCTGATAAAGTCCAAAAAGATAATTGGGTTTTATAATAGAGAGAGATGAACTCTAATCGAGAGCAGTTGCTGCTAAGATTTAAACATTCTTAAATAGTTACTTACGCTTCATCAATGTTGGGATGGAAAATTTTATTCATGAATCCTGTAAAAAGAGATGTTAATTAGCAGCAAACAGTATTCAGAGGAAAAAATAGTTTTAAAGTATTTCAGTATTGGAAACAATTTCAGTATTGGAAAAAGGCGATGATACCAATAACTCAACACTTTCCATCTTAGATCTTTGGTTACTGACAACACAATATTCTCTTGACAGCGTAAATTAATTAAAATATTTCTGTTCTATTAACCAAATAAGCAAATTTCAGGAGCAGTTCAGCTTCTTATACAAAAGTTATTAAAGGTTCTTGCCAAGAGAGTTCATAGTACTAAATGGTTTATAACTAGTGCCAGGAAAAAAGAAAGTTACTCTGACTCGCCTCCCAAAAGTTTTATGGTTCAATCTCTAAATTTGGAGGTTCTGCTTTTGAACTTCTCCTTCTGAAGCTCACATACTGAAAATAGCAAATCTGTATACTGAAAGCAGATCTCCAAACTGTGTCTAAACAAAGAGAAGAGAGATGTGGAATGTCACCAATCCCAGCTGACACCAAGGGAAGCTCACATACTGGTACCACTGGACTACACTGCGCGGAATACGAATGGAGCTGCTGAAATGCTAAGGGCTACCGCTTCCAAACCACAAAGAATTTCATAAGAATGGTGACCAAAACATTTCCTTTAACTTCAGTCTACTCATTTCAGGAAACCCAGTTTTGATTAATATTGGGGCAACCAAGAAATTGGCCAAGGGGTTAAAAAGCAAATTTTGTAAGATGGCGATGTCTGTTAGGGAGTTGTACTTTTTGACTTATTCCAAGAAAATAGAGTGTAGACTTTAACAAAAAATTGATACTTGAATTCTAAGGAGAAATTAATCTCTAAGGTAAAAATGAATGATTTAATCAGTTTGTGCAAATGCAAATGGCAGTATTCTAGAGTACAGATTCATTGTCAAAGCTGTCATTTGTCATACTTATCACCTCATTCCTTTCAGGACTTCCTTACTCTGCTCCACACTGAAGTTCTCCCTAAAGTTACCATCCTTGTGTCACAACTCTGCTCCTCCCCCCCACCCCACCTTCATCTTCTCTCTTTCACATGCATTCAAAACATATGTGGTCAACACCGACAAGTCATGCAATGTGCCTGTTTATGGTAGAAAATAACTAAGACAGTACACTATTCGTGTAGAGGTCACGGTAGCAGTAGAACAGACACGAGAGAAAGAACTGCCATATGCACAGAGTTGACACAGTCGGGAGAGAACGTGTGAGAGAGGATGACGACAGGAAAGAGGCAGGGACCTGGCACTCGAGGAGGATCCTCAAGGATGAGTGGTGACACAGGTCATGTCTAAAAACTCTAACTTCTCTAGACTTCGAAACGGGATAAGAATACAAAGTCTTGGCTATTTTGGTCCTCCAAGTACTAATTATGATTCTTATTTTTGGTTTTTAATCCTTGTGTAGAAATGACTTAATATTTTCTCTATTGCTTACAAGCAAATCCACGCAATAAATTACTCTGGCGCAAGAAGTCTTGTGTCCAATTACTAGTTCATATTAACGTTCATTAAGGAAATTAGAGATGTTTCAAAGTAGATTTTAAAAGTGTATGTTTATAAAGAGACTATACTAATAAGCCAATGGGAATGTTCATGTCTTAATGTTTAAGGAGAAAAAGCAGGATAAAAATTCCTATACAATCCAAGAAAAGCACAAACACAAGCATTCAAGAACATCTGTGAGGATATTCATGGCAGCACAGTTTATAAAAGTCAAGAACCGAATTCAACCCCATTAGCAAAGACTGGAGAAACTCTAGTACATTCATATATTGGGAGTCCTGTACAGCCAATGTCATGAACTTGATCAGTGTACACCAACTTGAATTGCTCTAAAGCTGAAGTGGGGGAAGTTGCAGAGCAGTCTCTCCAAAGCATGGCATCATTTAAACCAACACAAAGCAACAGTACTATTCTCTGGAGTAGCCAGTACAGCAATCTGTACTGGACCAACACATACTAAACTTACAAAAAGTATTTCAGTGAGAGCACAGAGCTAAGGTCCTGGTGGGAATAGGGAACAAAACAGGGAATGATGATTAAAGATGAATTTATCTCTATCACTATGATTCCTTTTTAAGAAAAGATAATGTGCTTTTTAATTTGCTCCTTTTTTAAAAAAGTGTGCACATAGATAAGAAACTGGAAGCAAATACATACGTTAACAGTATTTAATTCTTCATGGTGGGAGTATTTTCTCCATTACTTTTCAAATCACATCACTGCCATCCCCACCCTTGCATCAGAATGAGGATTAAGCAATGTGAAAATGAGTGTCAACAGCAGTGAGATCTGAGACTCCATTATTTCTACTACACTTTTGACTTGCCAAAAGTTCTACAATGTATATAGTAATTGGAAAAAACTACTTTCAAATAATAAATTTATAAACAGCAACAAACATTCTAAAGTAGACCTGATTGTACATAGATTATCTAGTGTTAAACACTCTATAGGAAAAGACACACTAAACTCAAGTATTTTATTTGACATCTCATATCTTAAACACTCTTGTTTAAATAATATAAATTCATTAAAAAGAAATTGGGAGGGCCTCCCCGGTGGCGCAGCGGTAGAGCGCTGGGTTGCGAAGCTGCCCGCGGCCTCTGCGGCGCCGGTTCAATCCCCGGCTGCTCCCCGGCCACCAGAGGAGGGTCCCACATGGCGCGCAGACCTCTCCTGCCGCCCGCTGCTCCCCTCAGCAGTGTACTTCGGTCCTTCTGCCTGCTCTCCTCCCTGCTCTGGCTCTGGTGAATTCTCTCACCCTCCCGCGCTTCTGACTGTACCCAGTGCATGTATAAACAAAACAAACAAACAAGCAAACAAATAAATAAAGAAAAAACATGCCTCTATTAAAAAAAAAAAAAAAAAAAAAAAAAAAGAAATTGGGAGATTCTCAGGCTAGAAGGTATGTAGTTCTCAAAATTTCACTATACAAAGAAGAATACTGCTGTCACAATTGTCAAAAAACTTTCTGAAGAGTGGGAAACTACTATAAAGTATATCATCCAAGAGACTTGTGAAAAGTATTTTGCTTGAAGTTACAAGTAATTTAAAATCCCTCCTCTGAAAATAAAAATAAAAATAAATTCCCTCCTCTGCTAGAATTCTCATAAGTAGTGAAGCAACATCTATGGTTAAAATTCCCAATGCTGGCCCAAGAGTCACTGGAGAACTCTAACAAACAGGAGTGCAATGCTAGAAAGTAGCAAGTATTATGGAGAAAAACACAGCAAAGGGGACTCAGAATGGAATGCTAGGGCGGGGGTTACAATTTTAAATAGGGTGGCCAGGGAGAGCCTCAGAGAGGGCTTCATGGAGGAGGTGGTGAAGTAGGAGTCAGTCTATATCTATGGGAAAGTGTCTACAGCATGAACAACCAAGTGCAAAGCACATCAGGAGTTTGATGTTTTAAGGTCAGCAAAGGGACTAGTGAATGAAGTGTACTGGGAATGGAACACTAGTAGTAAGATCAGAAACATGATGAACACTTGTGGGTCCTTTCAAGGACACTGGCTTTCATTCTGAGTGAGGTGGGAGGCTACTGAGTGCTAGAACAGTGTTATATACAAATGCTTCTTTAAGTTTTATTTTTCATAGGCTTTCTTTAAAAAGAACCTAGTTGGGGAACAAGCTTAATCAGATCACTGCACCTCGGTGCTGGGGAAAGAACAATGGGGAGTTGGCACATCTCAAAACACACAGCTGTCGCTCTTCCAGCAAGAACGAAGCATCAACAATTCTGAAGTCATAGGGAACCTCAAAGATGTGTCAAGAAAACAGTATTGAAAAGAGCTTTTAAATGTATATCAAAATTGTCTCTGAAGGATTAAGGTGCTTCCCTTTTTGTACAAGGCATGGAGATAACATTTTGATCAATATAGTTTCCACACAGGTTTTAATTAAATCTAGATTTTTGGCTTGGTTGAGTCCAAGAGTACATATTTAGAGAGAGCCAAAAAAGGACTTGGTAAACATAAACTTTAGTAATAAGTGGGTTGGAGCTCAGGCTTCAGTCCTCTTAGGAATAAAACACTGAGCTGGAGGACAGCATCAGACTGGAAAGAGCAAAGTACTCACAGGAACATGGATATCCAGTCCTGATTCTACTGACCACAGGTCTTTGGCAAGTCACTTCACTTTTGTGGCCTGGATTATATGAACTTCAAAATCTCCACCTTTATGCTGTTCTAAAGGGACTATCAGCTCTAAAGATCTAGGACTTAATTAACAATGGCCAGTCTACTCAGAAGAGGACTTAAGGGGAACGTCCAATAGTTCGGTTCGTAAAGGCAATTGATTCTGTTAAGGCATACTTTTTAGGTACCTAAGTATTCTAGAGAACACAAAGCTACCAATAGGCTAAGAATACCAGAGAGACACAGATCTGCGTGCTGACTCTTCTAAAGTAGGCAGAAACAGTTTATAAACTTTGCGTTTGAGGAACTCTCTCCATCCTTCCCTTACCAGGCTTTCATGTGAAAAAATACCCAAAGCAAACAAATGGAAAGGAGCACACATAGAAAGGAGCAGACAGTTCCTTTATGTGTGTGCTTGGACAAGATGCGGGCAGTAACTCTGGATAATGACGGCAACAATGGAACTTCTGGATGAGAAGGGGAGGAGACTGAGGAAAAACAGGCTAGGAATTCAGAGAAGGAACATTCTTGGGACTGAGTGTGTTTGCCCTGGCATGTTCTTCTTCCTTTTGGCAAGGCGATCTCCACACTAATGAAACCTCCGCAACAAGAGAATTTTCCCAACGCTTGTTTCTATTCGACCAGGAACTATTTTGAAGATATTTTAAGAGACCGTATTTTGAAAACTGCTTTCATGGAAGCGTAAGTGGAAGTAGCAAGCCATTTTTAATCTACATGATTTAAGATTTTACTCACTACTAAACATTTCCTAATGATATATTTTAGTGATTTGGCCAGATCAAGTTCAGAGCTCGTTTGTTCAATCTTTCGGACGACTAG